GTGATTAAGCCAGTGCGGTAATGTAGCAGCCCTAAAGTATGGGACGGAAGGAGAGGTTTACTTTTAAATACTAAATAAGGGTTATTTTTAAGTGACTGCCCCTTCTGTCTTTTACATTTTATGGAAGGCGGGGAAGGGACACTAAACTGACTTAATCAGCTTTCCCTTGTTCTCTTAATTATTCCCTCCTGCAACATTCTAACTCTTTCTAGCCAGGATTAGCGATACAGCCCAGTGAGGCCCATAGCCCACCCCTGTACTTCTTTTATTCCACCCCTCTCCACATCCACCCCACAGTGGGGACTGAGCCCCAGAGCCCTGGCGTGCTAGACAAGCTCTGTGCCACTGAACGCTACCCCAGCTCCCTCACCAGCCTCACAGATTCTTTCTCCTCCCATCTTTCTTGAAGGCATGGTCTAGAGAACCTGGGAATAAACTGTCTTCCTTTAGCGCGCCACTGTGGTCCATGAATGCTGGGAGCTCCGGCAGCTCCACCCCTACCTCGTGCCTGGGCTGTCTGTGTCCTGCCACCATGAGCGGAGCCAGCAGGCAGTCGGTTAGCCAAGCCCACCCCTGTCCCTCGCTTTCTGCAGCTCCTCACCACCAGGATCCACACAGGCTTGGTGAGGAGGAAGCAAAACATGGCTAGCTATGCAGTTCTCATGTCGGTCTCTAGGTGGCAGCCTTGCCCCGGGGCTGCCTTTTTCCTACTTAGAGGAGGCCTGACTCAGGCAGGTTTTACTAGTGAAGCAAAAAGTCTTTCGTGATTGCTACTCCCTTGCTATGTGAACGACGCCTCAGGTTAATTTGTAGTTCAGGCTCACCTTGAACTCACTATGTAGCCCAAGTGGGCCTCAAACAAGGTGATCTTTCTGTCTTAGCATCTCAAGTGCTGAGATTACAGGTGAGCACCTTCTCACATGATAAAATGTATGATCCTTGCTCCCTCGAGAGTACTTCTGTCTTAGTGAGTTGGGAGTACTTGCTGCAAGCTGGAGGCCTTGAGCTCAGTGTGTGTGAGGGTCCCGATGGCCGATTGTATATTATACAATAGGGACTCTGTCACAAACTCTTGTTTGAGTACAGTTTGGTTTGTAAACAGAAACATTCAGCAGCATGTTGGTTTTGTGTGCAAATTCTGCATCAGGTGGTGACTAGACCATGGCCATCTTTCTTGCACAGAAAGAAGGAAGCTAATGTTTTCCAGAATCTTGGAAGGAAAAAAGTTCGTGAACCAAGGTACCACAACATTTTAAAAATTGAAACACACCTGGCTGTGGTGATATTGGAAACAAAAGCTACTACAATGCATATATCAACATTGATAGGATACAAGGAAAGCAGTGCTTGGAGGAAAATTTGCAGTCTAAAAATACTTGCATTAAAAAGAAACATTAAAATTAATGAGCTGAACATCCAGATTAAATTGTTTCAAAAAATGACAAATGATACTGACTTCAAGTCCCAACATTAGAAAAAAAGAATCACAAATCAGTAAACACAAAGAAACTAGTGAAACAGCATTACCCTGATACCAAACTTAATAAATGTCACAAGAAAGGAAAATTGCAGACCAGTGCTTCTCATATATATGAATGCAAAAATCTTAAATGATAAAACAGGAGGATCATTAGAGTCCAAACTGTGTAGTGAGAGTGAACCCTGTACCAAATACACTAAAAAAAAATTTTTTTTAAATAAAAAACAAATTTAAAAGGGGCGGGGAGACCGGTGAGGTAGTTAACAGACTAAGCGCCTGCTTTGGCAAACCTGGGGAACAGGGTTTAATCCCCATTTCTGCATGCTGTGTCAGCCCCTGCCCCTAGGGGGTGCTGAGCCGGTGACTGAGCTTCAGTAAGGAGATAACACGATGGATCAAATTCCTCCAATAGTTCTATTTTTTTTTTTTGAGTCTTCAAAGCATTATTTTTTTGTTTTTTCATAATTTTTTTAAAGTCAACAGAAAATGGAAATACATTTTTTAAAGTTTCTAATACTAGGAGAATATATCATATGATTTCTTTGAAATACATTGTAAGATACAGTATAAATCTTAGGACAAAAATTAAGATTAAGCAATATTCAGAAAATTAGATACTAATTAATTAAAAATTAAATTTTTCAAAACAATTGAACTACGAAAAAGTTTTCATGATAGCAAAGAAGGACTAAGAGTAAAACATAAGATAAATACTGGAATGGCAAATAAATGACCAGCACTTCTAACAGTTTGAGGATACAATATCGCACAAAGTTCTAGTGTGTTGTGGACATGCATAATAACCGTGAAAGTTACTGGTGGCTAGGCATCACTTGTGGGACTGAGCTACAGCTATTTCTTTGAAATCCACCCTGTAGACTCAGGTGGAATCATGACCCATAGGGTGGAAGAGAAGTCCATTTGTAGAGTGTGCTGATGGAAATATTTTGCTGCTGAACACAAAAGAATAACTGAAAGGCTACTATTGTATACCTCTTATTCTCCTCTGTTTAATTGTTTGCCCTACTAGGTGGGTTCTTTCCATTCTCATTCATGGGGCTGTGATCAGTTTGCTCCCTCTCTAGAACATCATTTAGGAGTCTGTGTAGGCTTGGCTTTGTCATCATGAAATTCTTTAGTTGTTCTTTGTCATGGAAATATTTCACTTCTCCATTATATTTGAAAGATAGTTCTGCAGGATGGATCAGTCTGGGTTGCAATTTGTTTTCTTGCAAGACTTGAAGTACTTTGCTCCATACTCTTCTTGACTTGATGGTTTGTGAAGAGAAATTTGCTGTTATTCTGATGGGTTTTCCTTTAAATGTGATCTGTTTCTTTTCTTTAGCAGCTTTTAGTATACTGTTCCTATGCTGAATATCTGGGATCTTGTTATATGTCTGGGTGTGGTTTTCATTGGGTTGATGTTATTTGGAGTTCTATATGCTTCGGTTACAGGAATGTCAGATTGTTGCCCCATATTTGGGAAGTTTTCTGTTATTACTTCTGCCCATATTCTTTTTATATCATTTGTATTGACTCCTTCCTTCTCATTGATGCCTATTAGTCTCACATTGTTTATCTTTGCATCGTCTTGCAGGTATTGAATTATTTTTTCTTTTTTTTTTTTGGCGGAACCGGGCGTTTGAACTCAGGGCCTTGCGCTTGCCAGGGAAGCGCTTATTCCACTGAGCCATCTCCCCGGCCCCTTGAATTATTTTTTCCTGCATCCTAGTTGTTTTTGAGAGATCTTTTCTTACTTTTTCACTAGCTGCAATGGTGTCTTTCAGGTCAGAAGGTCTATTTTCACTTTCACTCAAATGGTTTTATCAGCTTGTGATTGAGGTTTTAATTTTCTGTATATCATTTTGAATCTGTTTCATACACTCTATTTCTTTCCTAAATTGCTTATTCAGGAGTTCCATCATTTTTATATTCTTTTTTTCCTTTTCATTTTTATATTCTGCTTTATTTTTTATCAGTGTATTCTTTAGAAGCACTTAGTACTTCTTTGATTATAGTTATCACTACATTTTTTAGTTTAGAAATTATCTCTGATCTGATTTCTTCTATACCTTTGTGCAGTTGTTTCTTTACTTCCAACACTGTTATTTCAGAGATTTCAGGGATGTGATTTCCAGTTTCCTCTGTGCTAGTGTCTTCTGCATTTGTACTGGGTGGATTTGGGGCCTGAGATTGAATTTTGTTCCTTCTCTTTGTCATTTTGTATACCACTGTCTTCTGACCTTTGGTGTAGAGCTGAGATAGAGTTATTACCTTAGCATCAGGTCTGGATCTGTGAAGTTCAGATTCCTCCAGGTGTGTGTTGCTTGGATCTGGCTAGGGTCTGGCTTCTGTGCTCCACTTCTTCCTGCTGCAGCCATTGGAGTTGAACCCTTTGTGTCACTCTGGCAAGACGTTCTGCTCCTGAAACAGCTGGGTGGGTCTTGCCTCTAGCCTTGCTAGAGGGTGTTCTGCTGAAGGGTTCCACACTGGGCCTGCACTCTGGATCAATTCAGGATCCGATGGCCCCAGGTCCTCTCCCTCACTAGGGCCTGCGCTCTGGGTCTATTCAGGATACGGCAGCCCTGGGTCCTCTCACTCACTCGGACCTGAGCTCTGGGTCCCCAATAGTTCTAAAGCCACAACTTCCTAATGATTCTAAAACATAGGAAGAAAATGCATTGGCCTAGTGCTGAAGGATGAGAGGGTGAAAATCATTCTCTTAGAAATTGGGAAAAGAGGAAAAATGCATTAAAATTACATGTTCTATATAAACTCTCCTTTGGCTATTTAAGTGGTAGAGCAGGGGAGGAAATCTAAGGAACATCCCAGGAAATAAAAGGAAAGAGATGTTCAAATCCAGGTTCTGCCTATTTGCAGTCCCTGAAAGGATCAATGGGTGCAGGCCTTGGCATCAAGGCCAGCTGACCTCAGCAAAGATTGCCAGCCAGTCCTGACCTGCCCCGGGGGACAGCCAGCTCCACCTCTGCCTGGCCAGCAGAGGACCTGAGAGTGCTCAGCCAACTCTTCCATCCCAGAAAATGCATGTAGGAAGCTGCGGGTGTGCTGCAGCGAGATTGAAGGTGCCGGGCTTGTGTGCAGTGTGAGCAGGGCCTGGGTCTGCTGCAGACAGGATGTGCTCAAAGGCAGGTTCCAGGGTGCTGGCAGGAGGGAGGGAGGCTGCAGCAGAAAAGGGGCCCAAAGACCATGGAGAAGATGAAGCCTTGACTAGAAGCTGCTTTGGTCCCGATGCAGGGATTACTCAGGGCTAATGACTAGAGGGCCTAGGCAGGGCTTCCTGCCTTCCAGGGAGCTCCCAGGTTCAAGCCAGTTCAAGCAGTCCACATCTCGACTGTATGTGTGGAAAACACCAAAGGACCTCAGCTGTCTGACAGGAGTCCTACAATGTGGTAAGGAAACTGTAATGCCACACTTGGTGGTGACATGGACAACTATAGCCCCATGTCCCCATGGCTCACTCAGTGAGACACATGCAGTTAGTGTTTCTAAACAGAGGACTTTATTGGGTATTGCTGGAGCATGGGCAAGGATACTGTGCCAGGATCTCCCAAACCCAGGACATGAGTGCAGTGACCCGTCCGTACACGGCAGGGGTGGAGGTGGAGCAGAAGGGGCTGCCCCAGGACACAATGCCGACCAGGGTCCAGGCTCCATGCTTCTTACACACAAGGGGGCCGCCAGAGTCACCCTGCAGAGAGGAAGAGGACATGACTGTAAGCCTGAAAGGTTGTTATGGGCCAGAATGCCTGTGGCGGCAGAGAGAGGCAGGGAGGGGTGGAAGGTAACAAAGGCTGGACACAGGGGCTCTGCCCAAGCAACTTCATCTGGGTGCCATCCAGTCCAGCTCCACCATCTACTCCCCAAAACCCTGTACAGGTGGCTTCCCCTATGTAAGCCTGGCTATCACCTCTCCCATGGGCTGGCACCTGTGCTCCCAGGGCTGCAGTAAGGACCGAGCTCCTTGGGCAGCACATGAGGAGGCTTGTGTGCAAGGTCCCTGTGTCCCTCCTGGTTCCCCAGGACCATACCATGCAGGAGGAGACACCATTGCCCCCAGCGCAGATCATCTGGTCAGTGATCTGGTCGCCAAAGGTTTCCTTGCACTTCTTGGTGGACACAAGAGGCAGGACTGCCTGCTGCAACTTGGTGGCACCTACAGGAGCTACAGGGATAGGAGGGGTGGAGTGAGAGCCCTTCCCTCCACCCAGAGCCTGGAGCGATGCCTCCACATGGGTTATAGAGATATACTCCACAGGAAGCTTCACAGAAGAGAGTCCTGGACAGGAGCCCTCAGTTGGTTTGTGTGTAGATTTTTAGCTCTCTGCTCTTATTCCAAATTAATAACTCTGTTTTATAGATTTTTTTTCTTTGAGTTTGTGAGACACTGCTTACTATGTGATTCACTCTGGCCTTCAACTCCCAGCAGTCCTCCCACCTCAGCCTTCACAGCACTGGGATTACAGCCATGTGCCACCATGACAGGCTACTTCATACATTTTTAGTTTAAAAAATCTATTCAGGTCCTTCTGGGGATTCCTCTGCCCAGGCAGCTCCTAAAGTCAGTGAGAGCCCCGCTGTGGAAAGGCCCAGGCACACTCACGGTCAAAACTCGTCATGCCCCAGCCAGTGGTGACACACTTAGTTCTAGGATGGAAGTGGTCACATGGACGAGGCAGGCACACGGGGGACACCCTCTCGTTGAACTGGGCAGGTGTGGCCAGTTTTATCAGGGCAATGTCATAGCTTGCTGTCGCATAAGTGAAGTTGGGGTTTGTGAAAACCTGAGGGTGACAACCACAGCCCAGTGAGGTTCTGGGGCAGCCGTCAGTTCGCCTCCAAGGGCCCAGCCCCTGTCCTCTGTCCTGGTACCTGTTCAATGGCCAGGACCTGTCTGTTGGCCTCAGCAGGAAAGCTCAGGTCATACATCCCAAGCACCACCTTGTCATTCAGCCTGGGCACAGAGACAGACAGGGCTGAGAACACCATGGGCCACTGACATCCCCACCCCTCCCCACATCTGGGAGCTGAGCCTGCCTGCTCACCCGACCTCGCAGTGGGCAGCGGTGACCACCCAGTCCCGGCAGATGAGGGAGCCCCCGCAGTAGTGGAAGCCGTCTTCATACTGGGGAAGAAGGAAGGAAGGGTCATAGCTATAGCCTGGGCAGTCCCCCAGCTTGGCCAACCATCCAGGGTGCTCCCCATATTCCCATCTCACCTGCAGGGACACCTGCCAGGGCCAGGAGCCAGGGACCGCATCCTCGCCATTGATGATCCTGGCCAGGCCACCCAGCTCAGGAGGGATGGCGGGCACTCCACAATCTGGGAGGAGGACGAGGGAGGACTAAGGCCTGGAGCCGGTCTGGTGTGACCAGGAACACTGCAGAGTTACTGGATTCCACTGCAGCCCACCTAGCCCTGCTCAGAGCCCACCTTCCACAGCCCACTCCACCCCTGCAGAGTTCCCTGGCTTCCGCAACCTCTGGGCTCTAGCTCTGTGACATGCAGCCTGCACACCCCACCTGTTCATGGTTGCAGAGGGACGTGGCTGTCCCCACCTAGGCCTGTTCTGCCATAGGAGGTCATAGCTGGCCCCTTAGCTGGCTGGGCTTGACCTCTGAGTCTCCCTCTGAATCCCCGTCCTGGCTGGGTGGCTGGGACCTGGGGCTCCACACTGCCCTCAGCTGTTCCGTGGGAGCAGAATAGCACCTGCAGCACAGGTGAATGCACACGTGTTAGACAGGTGGGAGCTGCGTGTGGAACTTATACTGGTGACCCTGCCCTGGGCCTCCAGCCAGACACTAGGCTGCCTGAGGGTGACGTGGCGCCCACTCACAGCACAGGGCCTGGAATTTACCACTGCTGCAGCTCCTCACCATTTCAGCAACTCTAGACTGCGTAAAGGCTGGGTTTCTTAATTATTAGTAAAACAGGACTTTGATTGCACACCATGGAAGGCCACAGCCTGAAAGCGTGGAATGAACTAGAAGACAGCTGAGCTGGGGGAGCCTGGACCTGGCATGTTCTCAGCCCTGTACTGGCCTCACACTTGGCTTTGCCCCAGAGCATGTAGCCATGGCCACCAGGTGCCACCTCTAGGGTCTCTGCCTGCCTGCCCAAGAAGAAAAGACACAACAGGCCTCCAGTGAAAACTGGTATAGCCGCACATGAGAAGGCATAATCATCTATATCCGTAGGAGCGAAGAAGAGAGTGCTCCCTTATTGGAACAAGAGAAGGGTGCATTGCAGCATCACAGGCATGAGCTAGCACTCCCTAGCAACAAGAGTAAACCTCAGGAGAGCACTGTGAATAGAAAAAAGCACAGTATAAAATGAAGGCATAATAGGATGCTATGTATGCCAATTTAAAAAAGCTCAGTGTGTGTGTGTGTGTGTGTGTGTGTGTGTGTGTGGTACATTTGTGCAAGGTAGCTTAGACTGACACCCAGAACTCAGAGCAGGAGGGAGCAAGGAGCAGAGCAGAGCATTAGCTGCATGGCTTTCATGCTTAGAAAGGAAATATTGGGGCCTGCCGGTTAGCTTAGTTGTTTAAGCGCCTGCTTATGCAAACACATTCAGGCACAGGATACCGCAGTTTGATCCCCTCCCCCATATGTCTTACCCGCCATTAAGGCAGCCCGAGCCAGCCAAAACAAAACAAAACAAACAAACAAACAAACAAAAAACCTTCTAGAAAGGAAATATCTCCTCTAGCTTCCTTGGGGCTCTGAAGGCAACCGGGGTCACCAGCAGCTCTTCTGGGCTGCCCAAGCAGACTCGGCCTGGGCTCTCACTCTTGCCGCCTCTGCTTAACTGACAAGGTCTGGAAAAACAGCCTCCGCACGAGCCGCCAGTGTTTGCATCAGAACAGGAAGGATGTCGGCGTCATCACATTTGAGTGAGTGATTGTCCTTCCATGGAGAATCAGGACACGCGCTCGGTGAGAGACCGCACTAACTCTTTATATATAAAATAAGAAATGTAAAAGACTTTGGAAAAATAGAAAGGAACTATTTGAGTTGGGCATAGTGCTGTGCCTGCAGGCTGAGGCAGGAGGATCATCTGGGATAGAGCAGGAACAAAGTGAGGTCCTGTCTCAAAGAACAAAAACAAAAATAAAAGCAACAAAAACAAATATCTGAAGTAAACCTGAAGGTAAGACCTGCTAAATCTGGACCCCATATACCTGATGTCATCTAACTTTCTATATTTTTAACTCTTCCCCTCCTGTGTGTGTGTGTGTGTGTGTGTGTGTGTGTGTGTGTGTGAGATGCTAGGGCTGGAACACAGTTTTTACGTTGAGCTATAGCTCCATCCTTTTTTCCACTTTTTATATTCTGAGGAGACAGGGTTTTCCTGAGGCACTATATGGCTCAGCCTGGACTCTAATTTATAATCCTCCTGCCTCGGCCTCTCAGAGCACTCAGGCTGTCTGTGCATGCCGCCATGCAGGCCTTTCTTCCTTAATTTAATAAGCAAAATCTCAGCATATGCTGAGGACAATTAATAAATAAACCTCAGTGTGGGTGCCTTCTGAGGGCTACGATCACCTGCTACTCTGCCCACTGGCTCATCCGGGGCCACCCCTCTCCTGCCCCCTGCTACCAGCTGGACCAGCATGTCACTTCCATTCCTGCTGCAGAGAGTGAGGGTGGAGATCCTCCAAAGGACCCCTCTCCTCCCTGCAGCCTGAGGTACAGATGAGCACTGGGGGAAGACACAGGGCTCACCTCTCACTGGGTACAGAAGCCCCAGCTGTCCTGTGCGGCCTGGCTGGGGGGGTCAAGAAGGCTTCAGGCCTCCTCCCCATATTCTCCAGCCCCAGGGCTCAGCACTGGTAGCCCCGGGCTCAGCACTCACCATAGGCTGCCGCTGTGAGGACAAAGCAGGACAGAAGCCAAAGGAAGGCCAGGGTGCTGCTGTCAGGGAAGGCGGTGTCTGCCTGTTTGGGGCCCATTTTATGGGCCCTAGGATCCTTTAAGCCATGCCCAGACAGGGAGGCCCAAAGGCCACCTCCCTCCTGTCCAAGGACCTTGGGTTATAACTCAAGGACAAGCCCCTCTCTTTGCCAGCTCCTGGGAAAAGGACAGATGGCCTGCACCCTTGTCACCTACAGCCTGGGCAATGCCAAGGACAGGGCTATTCCAGGCAAGTAGCCTGGGGCCTGCAGTACCAGCTCATGTGCACCTTGCTCACAGGTGACACACAGGACTCTGCTGTGTCCCCAGTGAGTCAGGGGATCTCCAAATCCTGACTTAAAGGCAGCACAGCCACAGGGTACCAAAGAGCCTAGACTGGTAGTAGCTGGGGTCTCTGAGTTCTGTAGCTGTGGCCCGGGACCACTGAATGTGGGCTGCAAGGGCTCAGCAAAGAGTAGTTCAATAAACACTGGTCTAAAAGCAAAACCTTGCTCAGATGATCAGAATAACTTGGGTGGGGGGAGAAGAGCGGGAAAAAACCCAGGGGGTCACCTTGGCTCTGCCCACCAAGCAGTTTGAATATGGGAAGGGGAAAATGGCGCAGAAAACTTGGGTTTACTGGAGGCAAAGCAACCAAGCAGCCATCAGAGGACTCGGGGGGAACCAAGCTTTACTACATCGGTGGGCGCAGAGGGGCTGAGTGCTCCAGAGTCTACACCCTGAACTACTACAGAAGTCACTTTCATACTCTTCGTCTGATGGGCTGAGGTCTTTGTGAGTAAATGGAACTTTACCAATATGGGAACAAACTGGAGACAGAAACAGGCCAGGTAGGGCTTGTGCCTCTGGAGTATGTGGCAAGCCCGTTCACAGAAGTGGAGGGAACACTGCGGACTATTGACAGAAATGGGTTTTAACCCATTTGAACACAAAACTTGCTCTACAGGAGGAGTTACCTTACCTGGAGCAGAAGAGGGCAGAGCCAGCGCCAGGCTGCCAGTGCCTGGTCCATGCTTGGCACGACTCTCTTCGGTCATCTTCACAATAGAAGGAATCAGGCTCTGTGTGAAGCACTAGTTTCTTATAAAAAGGAGCTTTGATGCCACACCATGAAGTGACACGGTCTTTGAAGTGCTTCGATGAATAAAAAAGTCTCAGACCCTGTTATAGTTTTTGTCTAGTTGTCCCCCAAAGCCGCATGCAGTCATTGGGGCAGTTCCCAGAGTTTGTGATGAATTCATGAGTTAATGCTGGGAAGATGGGGTGAGAGCTAGGCCCGCCCGCCCTGGAGCAGAGAGCCTGAATGCAGTACAAGGAAAGGAGGGAGGCAGCTGCTAGCGCTCCTCCTGTTTTGCTCTTGTGGTGTGACTGTCTGCTCTGCCATGAACTGCTGCCCTGTGCCATGTGCCACTCTGCCTGGAGCCAGCCAAGCATAAACTGAAACCTCCACAAAGTGTGAGCTAAAAAACCCTTTCCTTCCTTAACTCTGATATTGGGTGTTTTGTCCCAACAATGAGAAAAAAGTAACAGAGACAGACCTTGAAATAGGCTCTGAGGTTGTGTGACGGAAGTGCTGAGAGTGACATCCAGGAGCTCCTGGCCTCGTGTTGTGGGTGGAGGCTGGGGATCAGGTACTGGGAGGAGATGGCCGGGCTTAGGACAGAGGAGCAGCAGGATGTAAATGATGGCCGTAAGAGCTGAGAGGGTCGGACCTGAACTCAGGCTGGAGAGAGGG